TCGAAGCGCCGTATGATTGAAGCAATCAACACATACGATGCCAGCTATTAAGTGTAATAGTGATGCTAGTGCCAATAGAATACCATAGGCAACGGAATCGTTTCTGATTTCTTGGCGATTTTCTTCCACTGGTGCATTTGTTCTACAAATTGATTAAATGGTTTGATTGAAGAAAATAAAGAAAAATTTGTTAGATTTACACACAACACTTTTCCGCCACCAAATAACGGTAAGAATATTGTTGTTGAGCTTGTTCCAATCCCAAGTGTTCGATCGACCAGCAATGTTGTGAATTCTCCATAGACAATGATCAATATGGGCATTGCCATCGATTTTAATAAAGTAAAAATGATACCGATGAGCATTAAGATGACATCCAATTTTGTGGCAAATCGAAACTGTTGTTTGATTTAGGTGAAATAAACAGGTTTGAATTGAATGAAGAAATTGAAAGAAAAAATGAGGAAAAAAATAATTGAAAATAAATTGAATTCAATTGTATTGAAATTTAAATTCCAAACTCACCAAACGAAAGTAGCTCGTTGAGCCAGTGTCATCCAAATCATTTTGGTAGATCTTCTTCTCTGAAATGTGAATCTTCTTGGTTTTCCTACGAAAAATATATTTTAACAATCAGCTTCTTTGCAATATCAATTGAACGTATTTGAGTAGAAAATATAAAGATCGCACACGATCACAATCGTGTGTCTTGGTGATGGATCCGCTGAGGCAGTAATTAATTTTCTTGCCGATAGTTACTCTTAAATCAAAATGTCCGTAGTTAGTTGTCTGTTTAATACTTAAATTGTACAACTTTCATTGGTGAGTTGCGTCCTACTTTCGAAATTCAATCAATTTAGTTGTTTGCAGCCACATAGTGGCCACTGAGTGTTTATTAGTAATTTTATTTCCATATGGGTTTCTATTGAAATTGTTCAGTAGAGGCAATAAATTGTCGAAATGACCGATAATACAAATGACATTTTGCATATTACTGAACATATTGTCACTATAATTGAACCCGTGCGCATAAAAACGACTTATAAAATCGTCGCCGAACAAAGCGAAACACATATTTGTTACTCGTTCAATTCGGAACAAATTTTACACTGGTATGAATGTTACGCCGACATATCTATGTTCAGTCATTGTTATATCGCTCTCAGCATCTCGTAAGATAACTGAGACG